GGAACACTGAATTAATTTATTGCTGGGAAAAAAATGACCTCACTCACTACGTTCTATTAAAAATATTGACAGTGACAATAGTTGTGTTTGCATATTTGTGCTTCATGCATTCTTTAATGCGTAGAAACAATAAAAACACGCTCCAATAAAGGCTCTCAGGAGATTCTGTTCCACACATCTTTAACATGTCAACATATCAGATACAAAAAGCCTTTGTTTATTGTATTTCTATATTTTGTTTTATTTTTTGCAGAAATCCTGGAAACCCATCTCTCTGGGCTCTTTTGTCCAGAGTTATACCACAGTACTACCCTAAAAAGGCAAATGTAAGTCTATTCAAATATCCTAACTAGAAACCCAGGAAAGCTGCTGTTTTGACATTCATGTACCGAAGCAGTACAACTCATTATACTCATATACACTTAAATGATAATATCTACTTTGAGACAGTTGAAATGATCTTAAATGTATTTTTTTGTTTCTTTGTGCAACAGGGTGGAGCAGTAGCTGGTCACGTTGCCTGTCTCGCTAGTATGACTCAAGGAAAGGTAAAAGTCATATTTAATTATTATTATTTTTTAAATCATAGTAAATCATTTTCTTTACCTGTTTGGTGTTTTTTTTTTATGAAATGTGATTTTATCATCATTTCACTCTCCCCAAACATAGAGGGTCAAGTTAAATTCCCTTTGTAAAAATAAGTTTCAGGTACAGTAGTTTGGAAGCTGAAACGTACTGTGTGTTGTTCTTGTGCTTGTGTGACTGCAGAGGGCGCTGTTGTACAGCGGCGTGAACCAGCTGGCCAGCGGCAGACACTCAGGAGAGGACGCTCAGAGCAATGCCCTGAAGATGATGCAGAGAGCCGTATTACTCTGTCCTGGTAAACAAAACTGACAATGCTGATTATTTTAAAAATTACAATGTAAAAATTAATTGTTCTTTTGATAGTTTTGTGAATTCTCGTCTTCAAAACTGTATTTTCAGGCACAGTTGTCACCAAAAAAAAAAAAAAAAACCTGATTGTGGATATCTGAGTCTTTCTTCTTGCTCTCACTTCAGATGATCCAGCAACATGGGCTGGATTAATGGCTGCCTGTCACACTGAAAACACTTGCTGTTATCTCTCTGGCTCTGCTCCTCGTAGACGGTCACTAGAACATACGCTCATGTCGGTGGTTTCTGAGAAAGGTGCGTTCACTCGTCTCCTTTAAACATGCACTTTGTTTCGTGTGTGTATCTTGAGCCCAAGACTGAATCGTTTTTATTTTTTAGTACGAAGCGTGGAGGAGATAGAGCGCCCTCTAGCCCAGTCTCTTGAAGGCTGGGTGTTACAACAGGCCGTAACCGGTCTCATGCTGGAGGGACAACTGGACCAGGCTGAGACCCTCTGCATGCAGGTGAAATATGAAACACGCATTATTCGTATAGATTTAATGAGGAAATGGAGACAAACAGTGTAATATATATATATATAT